GGGTTCTCGAGAAATACCCCTTTACGCTGGCTAAGTTGGTACTACATGATCGAACCCTGGCTTTTGTACACCGAGGAAAAGAAAAAAGGAAAGCGCGGTGAAATAAAGAGAAAAAGAGTAATGTACAAGATAAGGAAATTATTATGTACATTTAATTCAAGATCAATCGTATATGGGGGCCTTTTTCTACTATGGCACTAAACAGTAACAACTCGTCGCGTCAATCACCGTAAAATGGAATTATCAAAACAGAAACCACTCTTTTGCTGTAATCACGATATAAGACAAAAATGTTATCATAAAAAAAAATATTGCCTACATTGTCTACACTGATATTTAGACATTCCTATAAATAACCGTACGGTATATGACGTCATAGTATAAGTATCTGTGAGATTTACATACTATTACACGTTGTTACGTAAAATTAATTAATATTTCTTAGTAAGCTAATTAATGAGTAATATAAAAAGTGTGTGTGTGTATACATATATATATATATGATATTTTCATTCGGATATCTAGGTTCTCATTTCTCGTCATAATTCCATAAATTATAAGCAGCAGGTAAACAAAATAATACAGCAGAGGCAGTGGATCCGTATTAAGGACGTATAGGCATCTCGTACATGACCCAGGAAACAGAAGGAATTCTAACAAGCTATCCGGAAACGGAAAACAGCACGAGTAACAGGTAAGGTTCAATCCGGTTAAAGCATACAGGTGGCCGACCACGTTATCGTGTGGGTTGCGGGCATATGTTTACAAACACGAAAGAGAGCTGTGAGGGTGCGATGGGGTAAGAACGCGAGAGAGCCACCGACAGTGGTGAGGAGAGTAAAACGATAGAGAGTGAGAGAGAGAGAGAGAGAGAGAGAGAGAGAGAGAGAGAGAGAAGCGTGAGAGGGTTGGCCGTTGGTATCGGAAAACCCGTCATGCTCACCCCAGCGTAGTATGGGACGAGGGAAATGTGGGGAAGGGGGAGGGGTGAGCTTTCGTATTGCGAAGAGGAAAGGACATCGAAGAGGAACTAACCTCGAACCAGCCCTGAAGACCTCAGGCTCGTTTATCTGTTTGTAAACAAGAAGGGTCCAAGGACTAATCCCGAGGAATGATTGTGCGTCGTCAGGAATCGATTCTCTACGAGAATCTTGATCGAGAGCACACCTGTCGCATGACGAGAGGTTCACGTTTTTTTACTTTTAATTGCTCGTTTTATCCTCTACAGATATACATGTATATCTGTATATAGTTGGTTCACAAGTTCAATGTATTTCTTTTGACAGATCAAAGACAATGAAATTTCTAACCAGGCACGCGTGTGACCGCAGAAAATATGTGTTACAAAGTTAGTGCATAGTTTTGCACTAAATATATTTTATATTTCTATTTAAGTATACATTCACATTATTTGATTAAAAACCACGTGCTATTGGCTAAGAATTGCATTGCTTGTGACATGTCAAAAACACATGGAACTATATGTATATACATATATGTATATATGTATATAGTATAGTCGGTCTACGTATTCAATGTGCTCTTCTTTTGACCGATTGAGAACATCGCAGTCTTTAGCAAACCACATGTGGCTCTGTACACAATTTTTATTACAAACTTTACATGTGACGCGTGACATGTTACATGTGACGCGTCGTATGATTTTACATTGAAATATATTTAATTTTTCTATTTCAGCATATATTTCCGCAATTTTACGAAAAGCCGCGTATGATTTTCTAAAGATTGCATTGTTTGCTAACTGTCATAAAAACATGTTCCACCTGTGAACCTACTACAGTTCAAACTCTAAATCAATTTTATCTGCTGTTTTTCTTGCTCTCTTTTTCTCACTTATCCAACTGCTCCGGATCAGTTGTCTGTCTTAATTTGGTATGAACAAATCATTCCTGGTCTCTCTCTGTTTTACCGAGAATCGGTAAATTCGCAAAAGGTACTGTTGGATGCTGGATTCCCATCCCTTGTTACTGCAGGAGGCGTACGAGGAAGGAGGGAAGGATGGGGTGTGAAAACACAGGATATCAGGAACAGGAAACCCAACCTCCCGTCTTTCAGCCTCTACATCCAGTCTGTCTACCGTCTCTTTTATCTGTCTGTAAACATTCCTGTCGATGCTACCGGCTGTCGGAATGGGAAAGCATAGCGGGAAATTTAGAGGAAATTCAAATAGATATAGGAGAAAGTATACGAAGGAAAACTCCCAATCAATCGCTGTTCAGGCTGTTTAACGAGTTCACTGAGCTAGGACCAATGAAGTACTTCTTTTTTGCTCGAGATCTCCTCTCGCTAATTCTTTTTATCATTCTTTGGGTGTCATTCCTTTTTATCATAGATAACTTTAATCGTACTCTCTTTATTTTCTGATTGGACTTTATGGATGCTTATTTTGAAATTATCATAAGTTAATTATATACCAAAGACCTTTGATATTTAACAATTGAGATTCAATGATTTTACATAAATATTTCTGAATCGCAAATAATACTATTTTCAAGTATATTAGTGTACGTGTCATACTCGTTTAATGTATACGGATGAAATTTATTTTAATTTAGGTCGAGAATAAATAGTTCGAGTCATATCATTTCAAAATTATTTTCTATTTCTTTTAATCGTGCATTCATCCACAGATACGTGAAACGTAGATACTAATTTATTATTCGATTATCAATCTCGCTACTACGCTTGTCCCCTTCTTCTTTGTTTAAAATTTTGATACTTTTTCAAAACTGACATCCGGCTGTCGAAGGATGTTCCTTCCGCGAAATCTAACGGGTGTCTTTATTATATCGATTCGAAGCGATTAAATGAGCTCAACTGTTTTCTAACGGAAATTAACGTCGCACACGAATCGAACACCCTCTCATCCCCTAATAAATTACATCCACTCATTCTCTTTTCTCTTTTCCTTTATCCAAAGTGTTTTTGCGTTTTGCCAAAATCCGTCTGACAGTTTCTCTATCTGGGTCACCGCCTGCCCGACCCCCGTCACCCTTTTCTTCAGCACCATCTTGCTCTCCTCTCAACGAACCAACAACTCATATTTTAATTTAAATGAAGCATCATATCGTTATTCGGCTATTAAATGATACAATCCGGTAAACGTGGACACGTTTTCAAAAAAAAAAATGAAAGGAAGAACTTCCCCTTGTTATTTGTCAGTTAAATTATCAACCGCTAACTGCGTATATCAATACGTCACGTTTATATGAACGAAGAGCACCTGTAGTAATTTGAAATAAAATTAATAAAAATAATATTAATACAGCAACACAAAAACCAGTTTGCTTATAAGACCAGCCCCTAACCCAACTCCTTTATTTTGCAGGATAATATAAATTAGCTCTTATATCCGATAAGTTTCAGTCATTACTAATTGACATGATATAATTCAGCTGCCTATGTTTCGTAATGTATACAGGCATTATTTATCGTACTTCCTAATTGCCAAGACGCAGAATTTCCGATTTTATGGTTTCCAAAAGATTACGGAGGAGAGAAGAAAATATAAATGGCTTTGGTAATACGAAACCTAGTTAGGACTGGTTAACGTTATGAGATGTGAGGCCTTGCGGCAACCGCGTATTCGTATCCGGTTGGCAGCCCCACCGCCATCCACAATGCGATGGTATTGATTTAAAAGTACATTCGTGTTTTCATAATGTTGTATCTGTACCTAGCCCCAGCCACCCCTTGCTCTCCTGTCCCTGTCCACCCACGCCGACACTACCCCGCACAACGGCCAACCTGTCTCTCGCTACGCCCCTGCGGCGGTTGCAGACGGCACAATTAAATCTCAACTAATCGGCTGATTGATAACTCGATTTTATAGTTAAAAATAATTGGAAACACGAAAACTCGAAATGCCGAACGTGACTGCGAGCCAATAACAATATATTTATCTGCCGATCTATTTTTCATTGTTGAAGTAAAAATGAATTATTAATTGACGAATCGTGCATTATTATGCTAAGTTCTTATGACAAAAGAATATTTTTTTTTAATTTACAAATATGAGAATTTAATGTATTAGGGGTAACTTTCTTAACATTTTTATTGCGCGTTGGAAGATTTCTGAAATTGTGCTGTAAACCATTGTATAATTGATTATATTGTTGAATATTGTAGAAATTGGGGAGTTAGTTACATTTTTAGGGTTTCTTTATAAGTTTTTTCAACTGTATCTTCTGACTAGTCAGAATGGCTTTGGGATGTTGCTATCTGTGTTAGGGAAAGGAGGAAAGATGCGGAAGTGTTCGGGCCCCTCCCTTTCAGGATCAACGAGGGTTGTTCGCCGGGATAGCTCAGGGGTTGGTATAGAGACGGGCTTGCGTGGGCGGTTTTTACTATTGATTACCGAATTAAAAACGCGCATGCATAATTCAGTGATATTTTCTCCTTGATGGCGCTGCGGCTCGGGGTAGTTTTCGTGGGTTGAAAGTATGACCGTCAGGTGGCAGCTAAATAAGGGATGAAGCCAGTAGCGCCATGACATTTCGTGGCCGGTTGTTGTATCTCGATAAGGGTTGCTCTGCCACGAATCCATGGATGCATGGTTGATTTTTTACCGGCTTACAGTAAGGGCGTCTCTTTACGAAAGTACCATCCGTCGAATGTGCTTTTAACATTGATATACTTTTTACCGACCGAGCCTAGAGCTATTTCGCACCGCATCCCCTTTGCTTCGTCCCCTTCATAAAACTTGCAGACAGTAATTACATATTTGATATAAAACGTGAACGTGCAAAAATCAGATTTAGCGATATTTCGGGATTCCTTCGAGAAAGAATAATTTTTAACAATTAAAATGAATATTGAACAATTTCAGACTGTTATCAGCGAACAGATGCTGATGTTATGACACAGAAATCATAGCAAACTTCAACTGCTTTGTCAAACTTGGGTCAATCAATTTGTAACAGTATAGACAGTAACTAAAATATAACTAAAATTGGTTATTGTATATACACAAGAGACACTTTGACGTTTGATCCTTTATTTTGCAAAATAAATTGACATGTATAACATGGTACCTTTTCATTCAGCGAACAGAACGTACTTTCCACCTTCAATCGAAAAGAATGGTGTCCTCGAAAACATTTCACGAGAAACGAAATCTCGGCTATAGAAGCTTACTTTTTATGATTAGGAGTTGTCCTTTCCGATTTACAATTCCTACGATTACGGTTTATTGATCGCATGGAACGGATGAGCGACGAAGTCGCAGCCCTGGCTTACAATTAAATCTTATACGTTTAAGTTCCCCGATTAAATTATAAATTGACTGTATTCTATGAGTTTATTACATCTATCTTATCGTATTAAATGAGGCGAGTGGGATTGACGGCGAGGGGACCAGATAGAAGGGAGGGAGAAGGGGCGGAGTGTAGGAGTCCATTTTAGAACACATCGGTCCGTGGAGGAAATTCGCAAATTGTTCTTTTTTCTCTCATTTGTCAATTTTCTTCCTTTTTTTTCCTCGATGATTTATCAAAAAGAGAAGATGGCATGTTTACTATTATGAAAGTGGTTTTCTTTTCATTTCATTGAAATTCTCGCTTTTTTTGACGTTCTCCTTCGACGGTTGTGCAAATATCTTCTACACTGGTATGTATTAATTATCATTGGATTTTCTTCTCTTAATTTTGATCTTTTCTCAGAATCCGTTATGGATTCTTAAGAAATTTAGTGCAGCAATACGTTGTCCCGCATAAAGAGGCCTTGAATACTTAGAACTAGATATTACCTAGATTGGAATTTGATTTTTTGCCGTACGCTTTTTTGCCGATTCTTAATTAATGAACGATCCCTTTCGTGTCTTGCGATCAGTTTGGACTTCCATTTATTCAAAAACTGTCGAAAAAAAAGGTAATAAACAAGTTGCTCAACGGCGCTTTAATAATTATGGTTCTAGATAAATTTTATTTTTGTTCAGATTCGTTGGTCTCGTTTATTAAAAAAATTGGCGAACAGATCAGTCCTTGTATTTACATCGCACGCCTTTTTTGCAATCATTCGCCAGCATGCTAATGTAATGCCTATAGCCAATCGATTTTTGAAAAGTCGGAAGTAAGTCAGTGCCATTCTACCCTACGTGATTTTATTTATTATTCAATTACATTAGACATCCAGCATTATATAAAACCTATAGCCACAACTGGCCACGTTGAATGGGCCAAAATACATTCGTTACCAATGATTACAATCGCATTCTAATATGAAAGTACTAATTCTACGCACTATTGTAGAATCACATCGAAACGCACGATAAAGGATTTACGTTATGTTAATAATCGTATAACCAATGGAGCAAAGTTAAGAATCGATAAATGATCGATTTAAATATACTTGAACAGAAAAACCATCAATAAATCTCGAACATCAACATACGTAACAGCATCATTAACAGTGACAATTAACGACGGAGCATTAACCTTATATTTATGCGATAAACGTTCTAAACCGAACAGTATAAAACTCTGAATGATGATCAACATATAATTGCGCATAACTGCAGAAATGGACGATCCGCTTAAATAACTATTTGGCACTAGAATCCACATGGAGCATTAAAGCTTATTCTAATACTGACGGTTATCGTCCGAGCTTTTCTTCATTAAAATCTCGCAATAGAAAATAGTCTACGTCCAAACCCAGCTGTAGTCTGTAGTCGGTTACATCTAGGTTCAAGTTCCACGGTATATCTACAGGTTAAATCGGCAACGATCTCGTGGCCGTTCATAATACCCACGCAGGGAGGTTCGTTAGTCGACAATTGTTCTTGAAATTTACCGGTGTTCACTTTAGTTAGTCGACATTGTTACCATCAGCTCATGGTACTGATATACATAGCACGTATAACGCGTACAAACCTACCGCCATCCTTTCATACTAAATTTCCTTTTAGGCATCCATCCATCCACCCACCCAGCTGCTCTGTCACTTTCTTCCTCGTCGTAGAACGAATTCCTTCGTGCGTCTTATTCGGTTGGATGAGAAATCATGGAGGTTCCTCTTCGCCGTAAATGTTCGTCGCGCAACGGATCCTTGAGTAGCTTCTACGTTAGGAAACCAAAAAAATATGTGGGTAACCGAATTAACTCTCCTTATTCTCCTCGATTGGACTGACTTCATTTTGCAGTAATTCAAATTTTGGATTCAATCCTGGTAATATACTTTTGCTACTAGTTTTTATTTGACTGTAAATGTCTAGTGACTTTTTCGAACGATCCAGTTCTAGGGTTTCCTCAATCAGTCGTGTCGGGACGCTTCCACTGCGTTTGTGACTTTGTACGAAGCTCAAACCTGGTTGATCCTTTTTCATTACTACTATCTTCTCCGGGGTGAGAGTACCGTTACCCAGCTTCCTTTGTTGCTCCTGTATTGTATCCTCTTGAGTGTCGTCCTTTAGCAAGGCGCCGGTTATCACTGGTTTACTGCCAAAATCTATGCTCAGTGCTTTCTGCTCCATTATTTCTAACTTATTCGGAATGGTCCCGTTCACTTGGAGATTTGGATTTGATCTGACCGTGTCCGTAGAGATACTCGCATCCGTGGAGTCCGATTGATCTATCGAAGATCCTAAATCGTTAGATGATTCCGTGTTTATCTGCTTGTCCGCTGACGGGAGCTTTGAACAAAGAAAAAACGATTATTATACTAATGTAACATGGTTTATTATTATTAGGCATATCATATTTTTATTTTTCCAAGTAAGTGGCTATAATATGTAAAGATAAATGGCATTTAAAATGTTTATTACATCCGTTGTAAAAAATGGTCAAGGAAGATCATCTTATCCTGATGTCATATGTTTGTATAATCAATTTTACGAAATGGCATCCTCTTACGTTTTCACTTGCATCCGTATCGATACTCGGCTCCTTTGATTCATCCAGCAGAGTCTTCTCCGTGTCAGGAGATTTATCAAACTCCACCCACTTGGATCCACCCTCGAGTTTTCGCGAAAGTAAATCAGTCTCGTAGCCCGCGTAGACGGAATATCCAAAATGTCCTGCGTCATACTCAACCTGATTGCCATAACGGTAACTAGGATTGGCCGATCCTTCACTGGAGATAGATAAATCAGATTGCGATAGACCAGTATTGGTACTACCAAACAGTTTCGTGTTTTCGAATCCTGAAATCATAGAAATATCAAATTAAAAAAACTATCCCCTAACGTTATCGATATAAGACCCGATGAAAAGTTGTTGACTCCTATCAGTCATTTAATTTAGGACAACAACGTGTTTTCTTTTTGACTGGTCACTTATCCTGCTTTTTCTCTCTTTTCAAATTTCTTTTTAATCAGGCCTTCTTCCTCGTCTCTTTCCAAAAATTTAATAATAAAAAAAAGCATGGGCCTTTCTACATCTGGCTTATTCCTGTAATGTTTTTTCTGTTCTTTTTCTTCGTTTCAACTACACAAATTGTCTAAAGTTCCATCTATGTATAAGAATAATTTTTCACTTATAAGTAAGTCACATTTTTCACATTTTTATCGTTTATATGCATATATTTTAAGTAATTTGTAATTTCCTTTGTTCCATTATAATTAACAGATGTACAGAAAATTCAATTAAAATATAGCTTTTTTCCTACATTTGCAGGCTTTTCGTCGAGTCTTATACATTGACAACTGACATTGGAACATTTATTAGCCATCAATATATTCAATAATTATTCAGACTGTACGACTGAGGAACCCTGCATTACTTGATAACTTTATACTTATAGTTTCAAATGAATAAAAAGTACAAATGGATCAATACACTAAACTATCTTATAGCACCAACTAAATAAACCTGACGAAGCTAACACGAGGTAAACTGGGTCACAAACAATTTTAGATTCAATGTATTATGTATGGCATACAAAACGAGCTATAGAACATACGTTTCTGTTATCCGTACTTTATATCAGAATAGAATTAATTTTGCAAGTTTTACTAATCATGAAGCCTCTCCATTATTGTCAAACCGGAATATAAATATTAAAGTGGCGAAAAATTCCCTAAATTTCTTATAAATTATTTCTCATGTCATATCTCCTATAGGCGTATTTTAAACTGTAAATGTTTTACTTCGGTATAGTGTAGAAGTGTCGTACAGTGCGATACAAAAGTGATAACACTGATAACAAAATGTTAATATTATATAATATACATTGACTGTTAAACGTCACAATTATTTCTTTATTATATTATACGAAAAATTGGCAGTAACTGTACATGAAACATGTCAACGGAATGCATAACTCTTCTTTTAAAGTGAAGCGAATGTAAATAACAAGTCTTTACAACAAAAAAAACTCTTTATACAATTTTGCAGTTTGTGTTAATTACCAGGTGCTAATTTACGTGCCGCATAGCTCGAGCATTTGCACAGTCAGGCATAGACTGTACCTCTCCATCTTACAGTATGGAACAATAATATGGTACAGTCTCTACAATAAAAATGACTTCCTTTAATTCTCTCGCAAAGCACCCCTGCGCTACATTCTTTAACCGTTTTAACGTCATCTTTTATGCAGGTCGAGTTTTTATCCGTTCAACGGTGTCTTATTACCAGGAACGACCAATAATTCCATCCTGCTTGATGTTCAATTAAAGTAACTGTTTTGCATTTCAATCCTTTGCAATTTAAGGATATATATATATATATATATATCTATAATATCTGAAAACCCCGTCGCGCCATCCCTAAGGTATACAGACTTGCTCTTCGTAATTTTATGTACGACCTATTGTATACTGATACAATTTCACGATGCACTGAATGCATTGGGAAGTGTAGCAGATGCGCAAGGGGCGGGGAAGGGGGCTGTCTGAATAATACATTGAACTATAAAAATTGAATGACCTGAGGTTTGATCTTCCGGAATCTCTTCGCGATGCACCAGCGCTTGCTGATCTGTTACTCTACCAGCAACGTCATCCGTAGAGCCTTTATTCCCATCAGTTTCGTCGCTCTGATATCCTGGTTGCACTTCGACCACGAACGAGCAATTGGAATCTTCGTATTTACGATTCTTATCCTCCATTGTTACCTGTAACGAGATATTAAAACAACGTTATAAAAAGTTGTAGGATCAACCATTGTCTTTTTCTTTGCATAACGAGATCATTATTGTCCCCTTGATGTTAGTTCTCGTGTTAGCAGTACTTCTTAGAGTATCCTTAAAGTAAAGTTGAAATTAGATGTGAAATGTTGACATAATCAATAAATATAACGTGGAATAGTGAGAATGAAAAAAAAAAAATTATTTCAGTTTCTTTTTTTCCTTTATTCTACAGGATAATTTATTTAGCTACACGGAGAAAACGGAGCCGGTGGGATAACTAATGAGTACTATCCTGCTGCTTTAAAATATTCTATTAATATATGAATAAGTACCGAAAGGAAGATAGTAATTAACTAATTACAATGAGGTATCTTAATGATGGTATGAGGATTAGAAGCAGAGGCGGAAATCAAAATTGATTTTAAAATACTATGCGTTCTAACACTGTACATAAAGATTTCTGTAACTACATTCTTCGACCATCGTTTTCTCTGTGTACACTTCTGCTCTTTCTGCTGCATTTTTTTATTTTTATGCTGCAGCTGCATCTGTCCGCACGTTGAATGCATGAGTAAATACGTCTTCCAGGAAGGGACAGAGAAATCGAAAATGATATCTGAATGTTTACTTAAATTCTTCTTAGTTACTCTCACTTTTGTTGCATTGCAGTCTGACTTGACGAAAGTTCGAAAGTTCGGCAGTTGCAGGATGCACCCGACAAATTGATTCGTTCGCTCTGAGAAACGGAAAATGTTCCTTGAAATTGATTGTTGAAATTTATACTCCTCAATTGTCAAACTTCTCATCAATAAAGTCAAATCTGAATTAAGTTAAAGAATTATTTCTTAACTACGGTATTTGCCGGAGTAATGCCGGTGATAATTATCAAGTTATTATGAAACTCACTCCTGGAATCTTTACGAAATTTCACCTTGAACTTTCAAAGGTGGACCCATTACCTAAAGGTTGTAACACGGTTTACTCAGGAATGCAATGGACTCTAAAAGAAGGAATCAATGAATAATCCATCAAGGGATGGACTCCTCTATATATTGAAATGTCGAATGCTTTAAGTAAATACAGTTCAGATACAACCATCATTACTAGTAATTCGTGACACATGAGATTCAGTCATCTACTTGTCTTCGTGTGATCATTATGGTACAAGTCTGATCGGGAGAATCTCAAATTTCAACGAAATCAATTGCCTTTGAAAGAACTAAAAACACTAGAAGACACATTTCTTATGAATTTTTCGGAAAAACCTTGTTTAAGGTGTGAACCACCCCTATGCAGGTGCAGCCGATTTTTCTTTAAAACGACATTATGTTGCTTGAATTGGCCTTTTAAATTACTACAAAGTTCTTTTTATATGTCAATTGAGAAGCTTAATCGTTTCAAATCGTTACAGAAATCGTCCCTTCGTTTCCTGACTCTCTTCTGGCGGGATTCCACGTACACTCGAAAAGTCTTGCGAATTCTTGTATCCTAAGAGTTTTGGACGTCGCTAAAACCGATTTTAGACTTCAAATTTTGAAATTCACAATGCCAAAGACAGTAAAAATGTAATTTTTCGATTTTTACTTTAGGGGATAACTATCCTTAAACGCATTCTACCACGTTTATGTGAAAATATGTCAATTTTGCAAACGAAATTCGTTAAAAATAACTTATCTCTGATAGATACGATATTTTTGTCTTATTGGTCATCATGAGAAGAGCTTCACGACAAAGAATTACGCCAGATGGCCTTTTCCTTGAGCATGTGCTACAAAAACTGTTGTATCTAGCTAGTACGAATGAGTATAAGACTCGTGTGATTGGGGTACACTCGCTTAACGCCTCCTGCACGAAGCTTCACGCTCGTGTCTTATACTGATTCGTACTAGCTGGATAAAATACTATTTTACCCTTTTTTTCTAGGCAGCAGGATCACACTCCTGGTTTGCTGCCAGTTATTATGTAAACATCTGAACCTTCCGGAGGTCGGTTGACCTTCTTTAAACGTTGCTAGGCTTAAAGGGTCGGTTACTAGGGTCCGTATGTATTTCATACGCGCTTATATACAGTATTTACTTCTCTTGGGGGTAAATCATCTCGCGCTCCGTTTATTTTTATATCCTTTGTCGCTCGTCCTGACGGCACTGGATTTTCTATCTACAGCATCCGGAAGGGAATGAGGGCTTTCTGGCGAATGGCATTATGCGACTCAGCTCCACGCCCTTTCATTGTTCAATAGTTTGGTCGCTTTGCCGGTCGCTTTGTTGGAGATGTTGGGGGGTCCGAGCTTCTACTAGCGACGATGTTGGATGAGTTTCTGCGGGATAACGTGGGCCAGTAAGTAGGTCGATAGGCGGAGACAAGATTGGCTGGTAACCTTCGACCTTGCGGTTCTTGATGAAATTCGGTAATACATCCAAGTTTTCTCTCTTTGTCTCTTTATCAGTGTTAAGTTATGGCTTCATTCAATAGAAGCTTATACTGCTGAAAATTGCTTGTATAAATTGAAAAAATTAGGTTAGGAGTTAGAAAAACTGAATTTTTAAGGTTGAGATTGTATTTGTAAATTAATCTACTATGGACCTAATGATTAGTAAATATATTTTATGATACTGGAAAATAAAGGCGATTCTATTCTACATATACAAATTTTCCACACGCACGCACACGCATACGCATATAAACACATATACTAGAAGCATTTGCGCATTAAGTGATTAATCGATTAATTTTTTTATTGGGCACGTTTAATCCTGACGATAACCAATCAATCCACTTTGTTATTTCACACCGGATTTTCGGTAAATAATACAAAGCAATGCCAGTGGAATGGACATTGCGCTAATTGGTAATTGGTAACGACGGTGTACGTTCAGTCTGGGTCGGATGGCAATCGATACTGCAGAACTTTCAGTAATTAACATTTGCATCGGCGATCCCCGGGACAATAGTGTTTTCATCGTGATTCTTAACAAAAAAAATTAGCACGATATAATTATCTACATTTTACATTCTAATTGTAGATCCATAACGTCATCGTTCTACAAACAATCAAAGTCGATTAGTCAGAATTCTAGAAGTACTCTAATCAAACGGGATCCCGTCAGTAATCTAAATATTAATCAAATTAATCTGAAAAAAATAAACTTACCAAATTTCACAAATAAATAAACAAAAATCCAAGATTTGGGTATTATATCAAATTATCATACTTTCTCTTCTTTGTATAATTATTAAAATTAAGATATTTGTCCCTCTCAAATGAATCTGTATGATTCCTTTAATTAATTCGACAATTAAAAAAATATACTTACTGCTCTCTCCTCTGTTTCCACAATGAGATGATTATTTTTGAGCGTGAGGGTGATGATGTTGCCATTAGGGTTCTTGCTTGTGTGATTCCCAGGGGATGCGTACTCCATGTTACTTGCCACAAGTGCCGCTTCCTCCATCACTTCCGTCTGGCAGATGTACCTGGGACCATCGATTCCGTTCACCAGCTAAAAATAAATAGACCATTCCCTATAGCTATTAATACATGTGTACATATATGTACATAGGATTGTGCGAGGATCTTGTTGAGAAAATATATATATTACTAGAACCCACTGAACATAATCGTAAGGTATACGAAGGTTGATAATTGATAATTGATAGAGTAAATACGAAGTGCCGCGTAATATGTGTTTGAGGTCACTTTATTAAATAGAATAAAGTGTAGGGTGCCATGAAAAAATTCACATCCTAAACCTCAAATATTGTGCAAGTAAACATACTACGAGCCCACCTTTACTATATCCAAAGAGAGAAAGCATATAAGATAACTAGCGTGAGTTAAGGGTAGTATAAGAGGAGACAGCCGGCAATATCGAAAATTTCGCAAGCACAGAGTCGTAGCAAGCCATTGGTGTTTGCGTTGGAAATTGTTTGACATATCGACTCTATATAACATTACTCGAGCCATAGTATATATGTATACATATACACAGCCAGTAGTTATATACTGGATTTACCCAGGCATAAGAACGGGCTGAAACACTAGAGTATTATGTAAACGATAGTGATAGAGGTCAGTAAAGAGTTATAAGTCCAATAAAAGGATCAAAGATTAAATCAGTACAGAAAATCAATAGGTCGTACTGTATTTATAATTTTCTTTTATTTTTCCCATGTCCTTCCTTTCTTCCTCAAGGCCTTCTTCTTTACATTTTCTCATTTTTCTACGACGACGTAATGAAATCTAGTCGCGTCTAATAGTCAGGAATCAACGAGATTCTTTTGCTGAGATAATCGAAACCGTTGGAGCCGTGATGCAGCTGAAAGAAGAAGGTATTGATCCACGTGTAAAGAGAGTAAATTTTTCAATCCACGGTGACAACGTCGACGACAACTGACTGCCATTTCCAGATAAAAAGAACTGAAATGGAATAGAGAGTCCTTGGACGGCGACAAGTGCGAATTGACGTGTAATTGAATATATCTATGGTACTACAGGATTTCCACTTTACATCGAGTCCCACATAGTCGTTCCATTGCTGGTTAACCTAACCTAACCTAACCTAATCTCACTTCTGAATGTATAATAATAATAACACGCCAAAGCCTGTTTTACCAGTTCGCCCGTATTTGCATACGTATAACATTGCCAGTGTTCACACTTTCCCCGATGCATATAATAAGTAGGTACTGCCTACGCCGAGAAACGTTGTCTGAACATGTATGATATCTGACCACTTTGAAGTCTGAATAGGCGACTGTACCGTATCTACTTACTAAGAAGTTTCGCATGCTGTACCTCCGAATATTTATTGGAAAACTCGAAGCACTTATGATCAGTACAATGTCTAGCATCGATCTAACCGTATCTACTTAACTGGTTCATGTACATATATATACATATATATATATATATATATGTGTGTGTGTATACCTGCAGTATCATACACTCTCGTCTATAGCTCTTGCCGTATCACTGATCTACCTAAAGGCGAATCTCTAAGGCAGTTTCGAACTAAATTTAATACAGCCTCTTTAATGGTTTCGTGACGTTGCTCGAGATTTATTAAAATACCAGTAGCATTTCAATGAACCGTAACTTGGTCTACGTGAGCATTCACGGTTAATTTAACACGGACGTATTCAAAAAGGGTTTGAGTTCACCCAAAATTTTGCTACACAAGTCAGGGTATTCCGTTCCCATTATTCCCGGTTTCAATTACTTCAAAAATCATCCATGTTTTTCTCCGTCGTTTTACAATTGAATTGCTTCAAGGAGACTTTTTATAAGGAACTGCATTTAATTTCACAACAGTTCAATCGCTAATCGACTCGGTAACCATTTCAACGTCCACTGCGGTAGGATCGCAAAATTCTTACAACCATAATAACGTCGTTTCGATATTCTTGCTACTTTTCTGAAGTACGTAACTTCGTTTCTTAACGTTTCTAAATTATGTCTCGATTGTACCATGTAAACTTTAGTATACTACTCTCGCCAGTGGATAATTTTCAACTCCTTTCGAACATCTACCCCCCCCCCC